TATTTATAATTAAAAGATAAGATTTAGTTTCATGAGTTTTGTATGTTATGCCTCCTGCAGATGTTACTGGGAGGGCGAGATTAGCTGATTTTGGCATAAGCAGACGCTTACTCAAAGACCAAACAACTTTACGTACACGCAGTGCAGGAACCAGATGCTGGATGGCCCGAGAGACTTTAGCAGAAGAAGAATCTGTCATATCATACAAGTCAAGCACAGACATACAGGTAAATTCTGCTATACAAACACTTGATTAACTGAAAAATGGCTTGGTAAACATACCTAAACTGATAATATGTGTTGTTGTTAAGGTGGCAGGGATGCTGATTTATTATATCCTGTCTGGAGGCCACCATCCATTTGGTGACATATCCTTTAAATGTGAGTCAAACATTTACTATGGGAAGTACAGTTTGGATCACGTCCAAGATGTGGTGGCAAAGGATCTCATCGAGTGTATGATCAACAAAGAGCCAAAGGACAGACCCAAAGTAGAAGAATGCTTAAATCATCCCTTCTTCTGGACTTCAGAAGCGTAAGGAAGTCATGATTGATGATGAATTGTTTTTCTCACTGCTAGAACAACATTTATGTTTCCTGGTTTCACTTCATCTCACTGTATTGCAGGGATAGAGATGTTCACACTTGATCATCCAACCTAGTTCAACATGAATGATAACATTTGCTGCTATACTAAAATCTTTTCTTACACTTTTTCTCTTATGTTTTTAAACAATTTAAATAACAAATGATTATGATGATCCTCTGTTATGTTTAATTTTTACTTTTAGAACTTATAAAGCTTTCTTTCCAGGAAAACTGAATACTTGAGAAAGATCGGTAACAGGAACGAGGTTGCAAACTATCGAAAGGCTGAACAGGAGCTGATTGATTCTTTAGAAAAATGTGCTGTGGACGGATCCTTTAAGCAGTGGAAAAATAAGGTGACTGTAACGCCACAGATTAAATGTCTATACTCTAAAATCCACTTCATGACTAATGTGTTTGTTGCAGTTTCCACAAGAGCTGGTTCGGAAGCTGGACGGTAAAAAGCTGTGCCCTGAAAACACGCTGGGATTACTGCGCTTTATCCGCAATCTCCTTGAGCATTAGTGAGTTAAACTAAATAGTCTTTCTTTCTTTCTGTAACCTTGCTTATCTTATTTACCATACAGTAATAAACTTTTCCTTGTTCACAGTGGCAAGGAAGCAGCCCAAATCGATGTACTGTCATTGTTTCCTGATCTCGTTTGGTGTGTTTACACATTTGCAACGAACCAAGGCTGGAATTTAGAGACACCGTTGAAGGAAAGAGAAGACACTGAGGATATTAGCGCAGTTTTCATGATGCCATCAAACAGCACAGAGGAGTGTCTGGGTGTCCACATTCAAGAGTCTCAAACCAGTGAAGCGAAAGTTGACAAACTCTTGAATTGGGGCAGAGTCTAATAACTGCTAGATCACCACAGAAGACACTGATCTGCTGTGATGATCCACATGTTTGCACATAGTTGCCCTTCCTTCCACAACCCTCCATTTTACCAGCACTAACACGTAACTTGAAGTTAGGTTTGTACCTACCAAGGCCCTGAGACTGAACCAGATAAATGGATTTGAGACACGATGTATGATTTATGCATGTGTGAAATAAGTGCCTGATGTTTACAATTGTTTAAGCCTCTTTATTTTATTATTTTATTTTTTATTTTTGTAAAGTTGTGTACTGTATTTACACAAAATTACGCTGCTTTTGTTTTTCTCTTTTCTTTATGGTTGTTATTCTTAGTTCATTCATAAATTTATTAAGAAACACAAGAAACAATGTGTTGTACTTAAAGAACTTATCAACTTGGTAAGATTGGTAGCAAACAGGGGTCTAGTTTTTATTGTTAATACACTTTATTTTTAGTAATTTCTTTTCTAAAATAGTAAAACTTATATTTTTATTCAGTGAATCTTAAGGTTTAATGCTACATCATGTGAGGGGGGAAAACTAAATATTCTGATTCTGAGTTTCATATCATGCTCATTTTTTTCTAGTGAATGATATTGTAAATTTGTGAAACATATACATGACTCATATTTAACAAACATTTTTAAAAATGTTTTTAAAAATTTTGTTTCTTGTCATATTTTATAGAAATTGACTAAAAGTAAACTGAGTTTTTCTTTCCTGTATAAATAAATCTGTAAAACTGTTTTTTTTTTTTAATTAAATATTTCTGTTCTATTTTACTGCATCTAAAATAATATGAAAGGACTTAAAGGATGAGTTTGCCACCTACCTTGTGTCCTCATACCTGGTGGTAATGGACAGCATGTTGCCTTATCAACACTGGGGTCTTTTGTTTGATGGTTCCACAGTGCCTCCCTCTGGCCGTGATGAAGTACCACACCCCTCTGCTCTTTCCATTACAGGGCATGTCTAGAAAGCACAAACAACTCCACACAAATGCAGCAGCCAGCAGATTTGCATGCAGGACTTTCTTGCTGTGTAGCAACAGAACTACCTCAACTGCCTCCTTCCCATGTGGACAAGTAGCAACTCTACTCTGAGCCCCTCCCGGATGGCCGAACTCCTCACCCTATCCTATCTCTAAGGGAGAAGTTGGCCACCCTTCTGAGAAAGCTTATTTCTACCGTTTGTACCTGTGATCTACTTCTTTTGGTTACTACCCAAAGTCCATGACCATAGGTGAGGGTAGAAACGTAGATCAACCAGGAAACCAAGAGCTTCACTTTTACGCTCAGCTCTCGGACCAGTACAACTTCTGCATCACTGCAGCCCAGCACCATTTTCAATCTCCTGCTTCCCTCTCTCCACACTTGAGATACTAAAACTCCTCCACTTGTGGCAGTAACTCATCCCTGACCTGGAGTGGGCACGCCACCCTTTTCCCTCTGAGGACCATGGCCTCAGACTTGCAGATGCTGATTCTGATTCCCGTTGCTTCACACTCAGCTGCAAACTGCTCCAGTGCAAGCAGGAAGCCACCACTTGATGAAGTCAACTATTTTATCTGTATTTTATTAGGGCGACGACATACATTCAACTACAGAAATGGAAACAAGTGATGCGCTTTTCTTTTACAAGTCAATTTTGGACCCACAATTTTGGTCCACTGAAAGGGTTGTTTTGCAACGCCAGAGAACATCTTTTTTTCAACTTCTATTTAACTCCTAGAGCTGATGTCTGTATTACGTCAGTGTATGGGCTATTTATAGTCTAAATTTGGTCGTTGTGGATGTGTCAATGTCAAACTAAGACTCACTTGGACATTGTTTTTATAGTGATTCTACATGTAAAGGCTCTGTAATCACACATTTCCAGAGGGTAAAAGGCATGTTTTCTGTACAGAAACAGTTATGTATGAAGGAATGCAGAGTGATCAACCGACATCTCCAAAATGGTGAGCTGTTGAGATAAAACAAAAGTGAGCAGCTGTCTGGTGGATTTCGAGCACAAATGTCCCCAGCTTCTCACAGTCAGTTTTTAGTGTGTGCATCACCAAAGACCACCAAGCAGATATTCCAGTTCATACATACACACTTGTAACAACTTTTCTCACTTTTCATCCCAACTACTGTCAGTCCTGCTACCGATTAAACCACATTCACTTCCTTTCAATGTTTTTAATATTTCAACACATTTTAATAAATTAGTTTTAACCTGGTTACAAAAAACAAGTTGATTAATTAAAATTAATCAGCCTGAGATATATGAACTGAAGGTCATTCATTCTGAAAAATTGCTAAAACTTTGAATGTGTCCCCAAGTGCACTCGCAAAAACCATCAACACTACGACAAAACTGGCTCACATGAAGACTGCCCCAGGAAAGGAAGACCAAAAGTCACCTCTGCTGCTGAGGATATATTCATGATTCACCAGCCTCAGAAATTGCAAGTTAACAGCACCTCGGGTTAGAGCCTAGATAAATGCCACACAGAGTACCATTTGCATACAAGTCTCTATATCAACTGTTCAGGAGACACTGCGCGAATCGGGCCTTTATGGTCAAATATCTGGTAAAAACCACTGCCAAGGAAAAGCAACAAGCAGAAGAGATTTGTTTGGGCCAAGTAATAGACATTAGACCGGTGGAAATCTGTGCTTTGGTCTGATGAGATTTGAGATCTTTGGTTCCACCTGCCGTGTCTTTGTGTGATGCAGGAAAGGTGAACGGATGGTCTCTACATGCATGTTTCCCACTGTGAAGCATGGAGGAGGAGGTGTGATGGTGTGGGGGTGCTTTGCTGGTGACACTGTTGGGGATTTATTAAAAGATTGAAGGCAGACTGAACCAGCATGGAGGTTTCGTGCCCTACCAACTCGCCCGAGTGTGACACATGAACAGCTGTGATAGGAACATGTGGAGTCTGAATGTTAGGATTGACTCACAAATTCTCATTATATCATCCGTTTTGGTTGAAATAACTGGTGATGTGTTCCTCAAAGAAAAAAGTGACCTTTGATGATGAGCCGCTCTGTGCTGAAGTCACTGAGAGGGATGAGCCAGTTTCCAGGCTGTCTACCCCAGCAGGTCATGGTGGAAGCCAGGGGGCTATGTTGGACACAGAGTACGGATGCCTCTCAACGTCTCTGCCCTCCTGCACAAACATCCTCTCCCAATGGGAGCTGGACTGCCTCAGCTAAGAGTCATGCACACACTGAATATGGAGTAGGAACACAGTAAACATTGAATGTCTTCATGATGCTGCTGATATTTCTTAATCACTGTGAGTCTGTAATGTTTGAAATGATGTAATTCTGCAGATGTGGTGTGCGGTTCTTTGGGCTGGAGGACTACCTCCACCTCTCCTTGGACCTGGTACATCGAGGCTCAGTGAGCCAGTGCCTGGACTCATACCTGAAAGTAAGAGCTCGTTTAGACTCCATTCTGTGAGCGGGCTTCCACGAATATGTGAATTAATCTGTGAAAGCATTTAACTCTAATGCACCTGTTTCTCCTGCTTCCTGCTCCTGGGTGGCCCGTTGGACTATGAGTGCCAATGTGGAGCCAAGAAGATGAAAGAGGAGCTGTCTTTCTTGAACCTGCCCAAGTGAGTAACCTCAGATCCGGTCCCCAAAGGCCTCAAACCACCACAGTTCAGTCGGTGTCGGCCTCTTATTGATGCTGCAAGGAAAGAAGGAAAAAGAGCTTACTTTCCCGGGGTCCATGTGATCATTGAAGAGAAAGAGGTGCACCCAACACTCACTTTGCCTGAGGATCATGCTGCACCTGTGCTGATGGAGGTTTCATGCCCTCCTTGAGGTATAAAGTTACAGATGTCACAAAGGAGTTATTTACAATTTTGAGGTTCAGGATATAAGTTAATACCAGTTATATGTTAACTAAGGGAAGTAAACTGTTCATTATTTTGTGTTAAAGCCGCACTGTCTATATCACTTTCTTCTCTCAATGTCAGGGGTTTAAGAGACACTGTTAAGCGAAAAGTTTTGTTTTTATGGGCGACCGTGGCTCAGGGGGTTGGGAATCGCATCTGTAACCGGAAGGTCGC